TCGCCGCGCGGCCCTCCTTGGCGCGCGCGGCGATCGCGACCTTGTTCCGCGCGCGGTCCAGCAACGCGCGGCGCCGGTGCGCGGCCGTCTCCGCGCGCTCGAAGGACTGGTGGCCCCGCTNGCCGTCGCGCACGTGGAGGCTGTGGTTCACGTGGTCCACGCAGGCCTCGCCGCAGACGAGGCAGACGCAGCTCTCGCGCGGCGGCCGCCGCTTCCGAAAGTCGGAGCGCGCGCGCTTCGTCGCCTCGTAGGACGCGTCGGCCTCGAGCGCGCGCACGGCGTCCTGGAGCAGGGGGTCGAAGACGCCGCCGCGCTCGCCCTTGCTGCTGCTGAAGACGTTGGACTTGCCCAGGAGGAGCGCGCGGAACGTCCGGTTCATGCGGCGGACCTTCTCCTTCCCGCCGCCGTCGACCCACCAGCTCGACAATTCGTCGAAGTCGATCTCGCCCGACGCGTCGCGGTCCAGCTCCTTCATCGTCTCCCGGATCTGCTTGGGCGTCACGGAGACCCAGCCCAGCCGGATCAAGAGCGCCTTGAGCTCGAAGGAGTCGACCGTGCCGCTGTCGTCCGTGTCCACGCGCTGGAAGATGGCCTTGATGCGGCTCTTCTCCGCCTCGCGGTAGCCCTCGCGCTTCTTGTCCTTGGCGGCCTTCTTGATGGCCGCGATGGCCGCGCGGTCGCGCGCGAGCGCGAGCTTGTCGGCCACGAGGGTCTGCTCCGCGGCCGCGGCCGTCGCCGCCTCGCCGCCGCCGTCGCCGTCGCCGGCGCCGGCGCCGGAGATCATCTTCTGGAGCTTCTTCGCGCGCGTCTGCTCGACCTGGCGGTACTTGCGCAGGAACTTGGGCAGCCACTTCGTCGGGACCCACGGCTTCTTGTAGACCGTCTCCGCGTTCTGCCGCGCGGCGACGGCCGCGCCGAGCTCCTCGGCGGAGACGAGCCCCGCGGCGCCGCGGCGCTTCGCGTGGCCCGCGGAGCCCGCGCGCGAGTCGTTGACGTCGCGCGCGCCGAGGCGCCGCCGCGCTTCTTCGGTTTGCGCGAGCTTCGCGGCGACCTCGGCGGCGCCCTCCTGCATGATCGTGCGGTCCGTCTGGGCGCCGCGGCGGCTCCGCGCGACCTTGGCGGCCGCGAGCTTCTGCTGCGCCTTCGTGACCTCCGCGAGCTCGCGGGCGACGGCCTCGACGAGCTTCGGGCCGTCGGGCACGCGCGCCGCGGCGAGGTTCGCGCGCGCCGCCGCCGCGGCGCCCGCGGCCTCGACGGCGTCCTTCTCGCACTGGATCCGCGCGTACTCGTTCGCCCGCAGCGCCTCCTCGCGGCGGACCGCGCGCGCGGCGTACTTGTCGGCCATGCGGAACCAGCCGCTCACGGCGGTCCACTCGCCCTCGAGCTTGCCGCTCTTGGGGTCCACGGGCGGCGGCGGCGCGATGATGCCCTCGTCGACCTCCTCCGCGACGTCCTCCTCCTCGACGACGGGCTTCTTGATCGCGTCGCGCGCCGCGCGGCGCTGGGCCATGGACGCGCGGCGGCTCGCGCGGCGGTTGAAGGACGCGCGCTTCTCGACCTGGGACGCCGTCATCGTCGACAGCGTCGTCGAGTCGCCGCCGTCGACCATCGAGCCCGCGGCGCGCGGCTCGCCCTCGCCGTCGGAGCCGCTCGGCTCCGTGCCCTGGCTCTCGGAGCCCGGCGTCGTCGGCCGGCTCGGCGGCCTGGCCCGGGCCGGCTTGGCGTCGCCGCCGCCCATCTTCCGGTCCTTCTTGCGCCGCTCGCGCGCGAGGAAGAGTGCCTGCTGCCGCTCGTGCTCCGCGACGGCGCGCCGCGTGAGCTCGATGGACGTCG